CAATGACAATCCCACCCCCTCAGATATAGTTCCTTAACTGTCATTACAAAATGAGACATGAGTACACTGTTCATCGCCACAAAGATTTCTTGTTATTAGACATTTTGGTCAGCATTTAAAATAAGTTAAAATCACTTCAGCTGAAATTGTTGATTATTATTTTTAATTTTAATTGATTTTAATTGTCATATAAATAAAAATAAAAACACATAGTTTAGTGTATAAAATAGTTTTTAACAATTTTTACATAATTTGTCAAAGATTATTTAGAAATCAGATGTGTTTTTAGCATGTGTCCGGCCAGAAATTGCAAAAACTCATAAAATTTTTCATTTAGAGATAACGAAAATAAAATACATGTTATTGTGGTATTTTAAAAAGTATTTCTTTCGGTGTGTACACTTGCATATCATCTAGGAGGAGTAAATTATTTATTATTTCACAATATTTGGCAGTTACACCATTTGACATTTTCAGATACATTCAGTCTTACCGTTTGCAAAAAAATGGTGCAAATGTTATTTTTTATTACATAAAATCAACATGAATACAATCTGTACATTTTAAAATACCCATATATATATATATATGATATATATATATATATATATGTATATATAAATGTTATATTTTAATTATATATATTAAAATGTTAATTATATATAACTTTATTTATTTTATTATAAACTATAACTTCGGATCAGTTTTGAAGAACGAAATCAAATCGTCAATAACCAAATCCAGCTAACTGAGTAATCCACGTACGATGAATGGACCCCAGGTGGCTGGGTTTCTCTCTTTATTTATTTTGAAGATAACATACGTATTTGTATTCACATATGAATACAACAGAAAGACATAAAACTTTACAAATTGCGTGTCTTTTTTCACTTTTGAGGGCTCAACACAATTTCATAGGTCTATATAAAATAGCCTAAGCGATATTGAAATCATTTAAAGATATACAAATATCTGATATATTAAAAGCATTAAATAATCAAATATAAAACAAACAAAAGCTATAACGATAATGGAATATACAGTATAACATAAATGAGTTAAACCGCTTTAAACCATTTTGAATTTTAATTTTACAAAGGCCTACCTGAAAAAAAGATTTTAGATATATTTTTTTTAAATAATAAACAATGGAGTTTATTATAATTTTATTATTTTAAAATAAATATTATTTATAAAGTATTTAGATACAATTTACAACCTATTTTGAAGAGAACATAAACTAATTAAAGAATAAATGAAATACAGCAGAATACTCTACCAATAAACAGCATAATTCCTTTTCAGTTATAAGAAATTTATAAGTTATAAGAGAGGTAGCAACTTTCCTTTTGAACTGAAATATTTGTCTGCTATCAAAAAAAATTTATACAAATAATGTTAACTAATATTAACTCATCATGTTCCAAAAGGTTTGTAGAAAAAAAATACATACACCCACAGTAAAGTTTATTCTTAGCAGCCTTTTTATTTTTCTTTTCATTTTTTAGCGCGTTTCTTGAACTCTTTGTCCTTTTTTTAAAAGCTAAACTTTAGAAGGCCTTTGGTTTTCACTTCGTCAGAGAGTAGCTTCACCCACCCCATTCTGCTTTTCATATGCTAATGGTCCCTGCCAAACTGGTTTGAGTTTGAGTTTTTATCACTCACACGTGATGTTAGAAATTGGAAACTAGAGGGAAAAATAAACAAAAGTGATTTATTTAAAAATAGAACTTAGCACCCCTGTGCCACCCTGCTGCTTAAAAACATAGTCTATATAGAAAAAAAGAATATTTTTTGTTTATCATCATCATCATTATTAATAATAATAAATAATTTATTATCTAGCTGTAATTTTCTTATTTTGTGCAGAAATGTATTAATCCCAGTGTCAATAAAATATTTACTGTTCTGCCTCAGTGTTCCATTTGTATGAAATGAAAATGCAAAGGAAGAATTCAATATACAACCAATATTTTTTAAATAGTTGACTATTTTTCTTTTAATTTAGCTAAAATGTTATGAAACATGAGGCTTGAGAAGGGAAATATGATTAACTAGTCTAAATAAGAATCTTTTTTTTTCACCTCCCCCCTTCCAACATTCACTATGAATGATTGAATGATTAATGAAAAATAAATAAAAATCTACACACAAATCATTGCACAGAAATGAAAATCATTCAAGATACTTCGCTCAAATAGCTTATTCTAACAAGGTGTGCTATATGCACTTAGCCTAAATAGATACTCCAAAATTGGCTTGTGCCATAATGCCTATTGATTAATCTGGCCCTGCTTATTGAAATTGTATTATCGAATGCATATTTGTACATTTCTAATAAAGTATATGTTGATTTTTTTGTGTTCAAGCAAACATGGCGAACACACACACGGGGAGAGAGAGATAGAGAGAGAGAGAAAGAGAGCGCAGCATAATGCATTAAAATGATCCACTGCAATACTTTTTAAATATAGGGCCTAGCTCATATAACATTTTTTCCCTTTTTTTGTTGATGTTACGTGTGCATATTTCACACACACATGCAAAAAAAAAAAAACATTGCACAGAAATGAAAATCGTTCATAGTTCAATTAAATAAGTAACTATATATTTAAAAGTGTGTTCTTTTAAAAGTAAAAGATTTAAAAGTAACCCATACATTCTACAGTGTGTGTGTGTGTGTAATTTAGTATGTGTGTGACATAAAACATACTAATATACAAACATTTCTGGCTGATGATTTAAAATTGGAGACAAAGCACAGTTTTACTGTACCTTGCAAGCATACTGACATTTTTGTTTATATTTAGCCACAATTCACACAATAATATCTGGCTATAGTGGAGCTTGCTGTATGCATTCATCCTTAGTTTTTTGAAAGTGAGAGCGTTCGGCCTTCGCATTCTTCTAAACTTCCAGTCACAAAAGTCGCTGCACCTGTAAAAGTGAACAGATGCTTATAATCATTGCATCCCTATTAATGATATTAGTGCATTGTACAAAAGGCCTTTTATACAAACATATCCAAATGTTAAAAGCCTTTAACTGCAGCTTATGCTGTTTTAAAAAGACACCTGTCACTTCATAACTATAGCAGCCGTTTTTCGACTGAACTAAATACTTTTTATGTCTTGGTCACACTACTCGGAGGGCCGGAACAAATTGCCATGGGCCCCCAATTGAATAGTCCAGGGCTATAACCTTTAATCAGTCAGATTAAAATTTAATTATGATGTAATTATTACATATACACAATTTTATTTAGTTTCTAACACATTAAGTATTGCATTTTGAAGTATTGATTTATTTTAACATGCGAAAAGCAGCATACAGAACATATGCATATTAAAAGAACAACTTCACACACTTGCGCTTCCAACAGCATAGAAAAATTAATAAAATATAATAAATAGTTTATAATGTTATTTTTCTCTGACATTTTAACAATTTAAATTAAAACAAAATTACTGATTAAATTATTTTTGAGAGCCAGCATATATGCTGGAAAACATATGAAGGAAAAAAACAAATTTTTGATTGGAAAAATCATCTTTTATTTCTTCCGTCAAATAAAAATAGCAGGCATGAATTTAGAATAGTTGTTTTAAGCTACATAATATGACTTCAATTAAAAATTTATTTTAGAATCTATTCCATTTGAATGTCGTAAGTGTTCTTTTCTTCAGGCTTAAATGCTATGAATTCATTTTTAAATGAATTCTTTCGTTTCAGGGTTTTAGTAGGACTACTCAAGGAATGAATTATTATTTCATGATTAATTATTAAAGTATAACATTAATTAAAACAAGGATATGCATTAATAAGGCATGGTCATTTATTTATTTAAAAGTCGAACTCAGCACCACAGTGCCACCCTGCTGCTTAAAAACAGTCTATTTAGAAAAAAAAACTTCATCATTAGTAATAATACTAAATATTTAAATGGATAAAATTATCTAGCAAGTTTTATTATTAGCCCTTAATTTTGTGCAGAAATGTATTATTCTGCACAACAACAACACACACACGCACACCAAATGCACGCAGCACACAGAGAGCGATTTAAACGCATTAAAATGATCTGCTAAAATATTTTTAAATTATAACTCATATTACATTTTCCCAACTTTGTTGCTGCTATGTGTGCATATTTCACACGCACATTAAAAAAAAAAAAAAACTAAACGAAATGAAAACACATGAATTACACTAAAAATGGGCAGATAATTTAAACAGTTTCAAAAACATAGTAATTAATGCTTTAAAAAAGAAAAAAAAACTAATTTAATTTTATATATATATATATATATATATATATATATATATATATATATATATATATATATATATATATATATATAGTTAAAGTCAGAATTATTAGCCCCCCCTAAATTATTAGACCGTTTGTTTAGTTTTTCCCCAATTTCTGTTTAACGGAGAGAAGATTTTTTCAACTCGTTTCTAAACATAATAATTTTAATAACTCATTTCCAATAACTGATTTATTTTATCTTTACCATGATGACTGTAAATAATATTTGACTAGATATTTTTCAAGACACTGCTATACAAGTGACATTTAAAGGCTTAACTAGGTTAATTAAGTTAACTAGGGGAATTAGGCAAGTTATTGTATAATGATGGTTTGTTCTGTAGATTATCGAGAAAAAAGCTAAAAACTGCTTTTATCTAGCCAAAATAAAACAAATAAGACTGTATCAAGAAGAAAAAATATTATCAGACAAACTGTGAAAATATCCTTGCTCTGTTAAACATCATTTGAAAAATATTTAAAAAAGAAGAATAAAAATCAAAGGGGACTAATAATTCGGACCTCAACTGTCTGTATATATATATATATATATATATATATATATATATATATATATATATATATATATATATATATATATATATATATATATATATATATATATTGTATGCAATGAACACAGTACTTATTCTTCTGTTCAATCAGTTGATTATAAGTGTTTATGCAGCCCCATCTAGACGCTTCCCAGTTTTAACAGTGAAGGACCTCCTGAAGGATGTGTTGACCAGCTACCTGCAGGAGGAGAAATATGAAACTGAGTTGTGCAGACAGATGACCAAAACCATCACGGAGGTCAGCTTATCTTTGAACAATTTTTACTTTCATGTTCTTGATAAAAAAAATTAATGAATTACTTAATTCATCAATAAATTTAAAGAGGCTATATGCCAATGTTTTTTATACATTGATCACTTTTTTATTTGGCAAACACCTTCTTAATGTAAAAAATAAATAAATAATGTGTTATTTTGATTATAGCTGACATCCCACATTTGTGTTGTGACGATGTCTGTGTAAGGTTCAATTTTTACAAAGACAATGACACCATGTCATAACATTGTTACAATGTAGATGCATGAAAAGGCTTTAGTTGCGTGACATTCGGCAACCAGGAAAATGTGTTTTTTTACTACTTTTTATGCCAGATAATATTTACTGCTTTATTTGCAAATAAGTAGTAATAGTTTTTTGTTTATTTATTTATTTGACATGGACATCACAATTACACTGGACAACCAAATGCATTTGTTTAAGTGTTTTAGCAAACTTGCTAATTCTCAACACCTGTCCACAGGAGGCCTAAAAATTGACAAAATGGAAATATAATAAAAACATACACAACATAACAATTATTTACATAAAATTACTGCTGGCAAAAGCAAAGGTGACATGATCCAACCAACTAACAGTAGACTATTTGTGCAAACACTGCTGTTTTGTTTTAACCACTTTTTAAGAGCACTACTAAAAATATTTATATTACTTTCTGGTTTTAAGTTGTTTTGCTTCCTTTACAGAGAAGACAGACTGACCGAACGAGGTCTTACACTTTGGCACTAGACAGTCACCATTAGCAGTTTTACCGTGTAACTCTGTGGGAGTTTGATGCCGATTGATTAGCTCGGAAAACACGATTGAAACATGATTATTTAAACATTTAAAACCCAATTTAAGATATCTAAATTGAATAAAACTATCAAAACTAAAAAGTTTATGTTTACATAAAACATCACAATGATGCCATCGCATTGGCTTTAAGTCCATAATTTTAACTGCTTGTTTATATATTGAGTCAATAGGTTTCAAAGTAGTTAAAGAGGCTTGTGACCAAGATGTAATTCAAAACGTCAAGTGAGACAATATCATTAGCCCCTTTCACACAGTGATACCGGTAAATATCCGGAAAATTTCCGGAACGACTTTACCGGTATATTCAAAAAAGCGCTGTTCACACAGGCGAGGACGTTACGGAATTTTTCCAGAAAAGAGCATTCACACATTCATTCCAAAATACCGGTAAATTCTGACATCATTCACCACAAATGAGCCTTAAACGGCTGTGCTTGTATTTGTAAACATTTGACTACATTACAAACTCTGTGGATGATCAGTATTGTGAAGAACTTCGATGAAAACATATGCAGGATCACTTTCGCATGTCGAGATGTTCATTATATGTGCGTGTGTTGGTGCTCACTGGCTGTTTCACAGGCACACGCAAAGCTTGAAGGTAAACAAACAGCGGCTTATCATAAGCATCTTATCGATGATTATTTACACAGTTGGCATAAAGAAGAACATATAAACGTTATCTGACTAACCTCTAGCAGCTAAATGCGTCTGGGAAAATATTCAAAGGCTTTTATTCTCATGAACCGTGCGGACGTTAACGCGTGTGACTGTTCTGATTGGCTAAAGCAGACGTTTCAGGTCAGCACGTTCTAGACATGCACGCGCTTTTTCCGGCAATCTTCCTTCTGCATTCACACAGCGCAGCATTCCGGCAAATTACCGTTAATGTTACAACTTCTCTTTCTGGAAAATAGCCAGAACGAATTTACCGGTATTTTCAAAAAGGACCTGTTCACACATACAACCTTTCTGGAAAATTGCCGGTAATTTTCCGGAGAGGTCTGTATGTATGAAAGGGGCTATTTTGTACATGTATAATTTTGCAGTGTGATATGTTAAAAACAATCTAATAAAACAAAAACTGTTTAGACTTGGCTTAACTTTCTTACTCATATTTTTAACATGACTATCAATTTTTAAATCAATGTCTAGAGTTATGCCAAGATACTTAAATTCATTAATTTCTTTAATTACTTTATTTTTTTATCAGCACCTTAATGGGGTGGTCCAGAATGTAATTTTAAGGCTTGGTTGTGTTAATAAGATGCAAAGCAATGTGTGCTCATGTTTCACTTGGAGGAAATTGTGTTATTTTTTCATATATCTCACTTTGATTATACACAGCTATTCTGCTAACATGAAAACGACTGTCATATTTCTAAGTTCCTCTAAAAGGCCCCCCTTAAGTGACTCTGATTGGTCATCATCATAATTTTCTGTGATTCGCCAATCGGCTGCATGTCACGCCTGGACAAGCACCCGCGTTTTGTGTAAACCGTCAGTCAGTCAACGCATGTCTGTAATGAGTGAAAATGGGATGCGGCTCCTTTAAGTGTTTCTGTGCCATTGTGTGTTTATGTGTGTGCGTGTGTATACTATGAAGTATCTGTAACACGAGAAGCGCATGAGCGCGGGAGAGATATTTATTGTTCTTTTTCTCTCATGCTCGGATTAAGTTATCTTCTGTGGTGACAGAATAAAGCACAAGATGTGAGATGAGACCTGTGTGAGCCTGGATTGATTTGTTTTTGATGTTACACTCCAGTTGGGAGAGCATTGTTGTATTTTTAAAAAAAATCAATGCGTTACAGGATGTCTTTCACGCATATCCGCAATATGCCTGTGTAAGTACCATGAATCGTTCACATATCTTTTGCGACTTTATTGTCCGAGTTGTAAAACGCATGGTAAAGTTGCCTGTAAAGAGAAACTCTGCCGTCTCACACAGAGAGACGCAGGTGCTGGTCAAGAGTGTGTGTATGTGTTTGTGTTTTTACAGCCGTTTGACTGATAAATATGGATTTGTAGCTAAATCGTTAGCGGTGAACATAATTTCCCGTGTTTTACATCTTTGTTACAACATACCGTTAACACTGTACATGTCATGATCAATTTTAACCAATAAAAACACTTACAGGTCATGGCTCACCGAGTTCACAGCGTCTCCTTGCTCCATATTTGGGAAGATTTTAGCCGAATCCAGCACTGAACTGGGAGATATTCTGGAAGCTGTTTTGTCAGATCATGCTTGCTATGTATTTTATAGTTCTCTGGAACATAATTAATATTGAACTGTAAGCACTTCTGTGTTTGGGTCATGTCATTTGGAGGCCCAACAACAGAAACAGAACAGCTCTGTGGAAACAGCAGGATGGCATTTCTCCCTCTGCAGTAACGTTACAGCGCCTCTGGCCACAGCCTTTACCTGCGCAATGTGGGATGCGCAATAACGAACTTTTGTGATCTCACAGGGGGCGGAAGTATTTTTTGTAGTCCCCAAAATTTGTTCATTGTAGGCTTTGCTAAGCTAACTCTTTACAAATCAAGGTCTCCCTTTGCATTGAACTTTGAGCATTTTACATTCAGAGATGCTGTTTATGTTCTCACAGCTACATTACACATCAACTAAAGTTTAAAATATGATATCGTAGTGGACCACCCCTTTAAATGTATCCCGTACTGGCTTATTTCTTATAGAAAAACACATAGAACCTGTTTTCTCGACATTCAACGTTAAATGAGACAGTTCAAGACATCTTGAAATGTGTTGTAAAGCCTGGGTCAGTTGCTCACCTGCCCGGCAAGGTGTTTTAGCTGACACATAGATGACTGTGTCATCTGCATATAACTTGCAGTTAACCCCTGTGCAGCAATCTGGAAGATCGTTTATGTACATTGTAAACAACAATGGGCCAAGGACAGACCCTTGAGGTACTTCAATATTGTTACAACGCACAGATGACTTCAGCCCATTGACCCTCACACATTGCTGTCTCCCACCCAAAAAAGACCTAAACCACTGTAAGGCTTCTGCTGACATTTTGAACTCTTAATTTATTTAGTAAAATACTGTGATTAACCGTGTCAAAGGCTTTCTTTAGGTCCAGAAACACTGCCTTAACCCCACTACCTTTATCCAGTGACCCTTTTATTTTTTCAAGCAGATAACAGTTTGCTGTTTCTGTGGAATATTTCTCTCTAAAACTAAACTGCTGTGGATAAAGCAACTGTTTAGAGTGTAAATGCTCCATTAATTGTTCCGCAACAATTTTCTCCAGCACTTTTAACACTACAGGTAGAATAGCAATAGGCCTATAGTTACAAGCAACATCCTTATCGCTAGATTTATAGATCGGTATAACTATTGCTGTCATCCAACTATCTGGGAAAGTTTTGTTTGAATCAATAAGTTTACTAAATATGTAATTGGCTCCAACAGAAAATGTTTATATCTCTTAATTAATTCCGAATGAAAATTAAAAATATCCTTAGCCATAGAATTCCAACATGATCCCTGGCCCTTACTTACCTGGTCCCCCCACTTCAAAAGAAGTTTTACAGATTTAGATATATTTTTTGGGAGTCGCAAGCATCTAGATAATTCTAGGAATTACAACAGTACATTGGGAAAGCGTGCAGTCCCGATAGGGAGGAAGCTGCGGAGACCACCTGCTACCCAAAGGGGAGATATGATGGCAAAATATATGGACTAGCCGTGAGAAGGGGTAGTACACATATAATAAGATGGTTAGCGGAGAGGGAAGACACACGTCTGCCCGTGAGGGGGGACTGCCTTTTCATCTGATTAGCAGGTAAAAATTCACAAAATTCACATTATAGCCACCTAGACTCTTGTTCACCCCACTTAAACATCAGTAACGCATATCTGGCAAATCCTATAGAGACTGTGTCTGTTCCTCGTATTAATAGATTAAGAAATAAACGTACTGTGTGCTCCAGAAAAAATCTAGTAAGAATCAAACCAGTAAAACCAGTTGAATGTGAAAATACAAATTTCGTAAAACTTGGTCTCCTAAACATCAGGTCACTTGCACCTAAAGCACTTATCATTAATGAAATAATAACAGAAAACAATCTTAATGCACTCTGTCTCACTGAAACCTGGCTGAAACAAAATGACTATATTAGCTTAAATGAAG